TTTTACGCTAGGCCTTTTCCCAGGGAAGGAGACTTTAGGCAAAATACCTCCATTCTTTGGGCTTTTGTTTTTTTTAACCTCATTCAAACATTGCATGGGTGGTGTGAGATGAACTCAGAACTGTTGTGCTCCATGAATCTGGGAAACATTGGAGTGATCCAAGGAGAAAGTGAGAAAATGATGAGTTTTTAGAAAACACAACTAATGATGAAAAACAAAATAATTAGAATGATTGAGCCTTGGAGAAGGGGAGGCATTTTATAATTGTGTTCTAGTATGTTCATGGAATAGTAGGAGTAATTGTAGTAGTAGACAATGGTACACTTCATCGCTTCATTTCTTCAGAGAATTTTTTTTATGTTTCAGCAAGAAAAATATTTTTGAAAATGTCTGAAAGACATTTTCAGACTTTCAATGAAAACTATATATAGTACCATCTTTTTCTTGCAAAGTTATCAGGGTAGAAGGAAAATCATGACTCTGTTGTTTACCATCCACAAAACCTTAGCTGAAACCTGAAATTTCTTAGAGCCATCTTTTTTTCATCTGCACAAGGAGAGAAACAGTAGTGCACACTTATGAGGTTGATGGGGTATTAAATGAGTTATGCCTACAGGGGCAGTTTGCATTCTGTCCAGCATCTATGTACTATTTAATACACTGCAAGAATCATTCTTATGATTACTGTTACAACTGTTAGTTACTGGTGTCAATGACAAATCTTTTGACATGAGTTTTGGTCCTCTAATTTGCATGTTTTCAAGCCAAATCTACACAGATGTCTTTTGTTTAAAACAAAGATGGAAATAGAAATAATAAACATATTTTATAATGTGAGTTCACATTTGAATTTTGTATCATTTATGATTACTAATTAAGAATGATCCTATTTGAATGCTAGGAATTCCATAGGAACTCATCCAATCTTATTTTGTGATGCAGTTTTATACCAAGCACACACATTGGCACATTTTATGACAGCCATTTAAGTTGAAACATAAGTAAGTACAGATGGCCTAAGTTGATCTTTGGGTTGAAAGAAAATGGTACATTTTTTACACAATTAGAATTATTAAAAATATTTCCATATCATCTCATGTCCTATGTATCAGCAGTCCCATTCAAACCAAATAAGAAAACAAATAATTATAGCAGACATGCTACTTCATACTCACTAGTTAAAGAAAGATTTGGAAAGTTCAGATTAACAGCATGAGCAGAAAGTTAAATATGCAATATTTTGAATAACTTCCACTCAATATTTATGTCCAGTGTTTTATTTAATGAACATATGAGTAGAATTTCCTCCTGTATTAAGTTGCTACAAATACAATTCTAACTTACATTTTCTCTTTGTCATAACAGATATAGGAAAATTAATCTCAGGTATGTTTATTTCCCCAAAACAAGATTTAATTCACCTGAATAATGCAAGTCTGTCTACTGCAGCTTGGTACTTTGTTTTTTGTAGTTTTGATTAAATATTAACACTGAGATTCAAAATGGTTGTCTTCATAAGTTGAATTTTGTTTGCTTGTTTTGACAAATACTGAGCTTGATCAATTAGGTTTATATTGTGTATCCCACTACAAGGTAACGTCTGTGAAGGCAGGAATTTTGTCAAGCTGTTTATAGTTTCTGGATCAAGTGCCACATAGAATAAGCATGCAGTTCTTAGTTACTCAATGAGTAAGTCAGGGTTTCTCAGCCTTGCCACTATTGATATTTTCTGGATGATTCTTTGTTGTAGGCAGCTGTCCTCCACATTGTAGGATGTTGAGCCGCATCCTTGGCCTCTCCTCTCTAGACACCAGTAAGTCCCAGTAGCACTGACCCCAGCTGACAATTAAAAATGTCTCCAAACATTGCCAAATGACTCCTGGGGAAGGGAAGGGCCCTAGTGATCCTCTATTAACAACCACTGCTGTAAATAAATGGATTGTCTTGGAATGTCAAAGGAAGTCATAATTGTACGTCCCTGGCTGGAAAAAAAGAGGAATTTGGAAACTCTTTGACTTACATAATCAACAATCAACATTGGCCACTAAAATGGATCAATTATACCCCACAAAAGTTAACATTATTGTTGAGCCATTGCCATCGATTTGGTATGGTAAGTAGAAAATCATCCTTTGTCATCTTGATGCAGAAAAAAGGGGTCATCTCTCAGATACTAAGAGTAGTAGTATTTACATCATCCCTTTTCCTTCTCCCAACCTAGTTCTTTAGGGAACCCTGTATTATTTTGAGGCCTGAATATAGAATTATAATTCCAAAGTCTACAAAATATTTAACATTGCAAATGTGATGTGGAACTCTGGGTTATTTCGGTGATGCAGCTGTTGGAAGCTCATGCATTTCTGGAATGTGAAGAACATCTTTTGACAATTTGCAATTGTTGTGTAAGCTATCACATAGTCATTTGCCACAATTCTGGTTTCCTTCACAGAGTGTTTGTAAGACTGGAACAATTTGCTGCCATATTAGCAAAGAGGAACGTTGGGTGTGAAGAGAGACCTGCAGGAATAGGCTCAGTAATCACACTTCACCTGTGCCAAGTTTGCTGTTCCAATGAAATGCAAGTGGGAAATATTTTAGATAAATCACTCTATTTAAAGATATACAAATGTTTAGATGACCTTGTGCAAGTTATTTAGCCTTTCTAACCCTTTATATACTATCCACTAAGGGGGGTGGCAGATTATGGTGATGCCTAAATGATGTATGTAAAGCACTTAGCACAATGCCTGGCATGTAGTGGGAACTGATTTATTAGCTGTTATGATAATTGTCATTATTTAACATACAGATGTAACACCCTGTATGCTAGTTGACTAGATGGAAACGGCAAGGATGCAAGGTCAATGATGTAATATGTACTCGGGGTACAATCTTGGTTCAGCTACTTATTAGCTATTACTAACAGCCAAGATTATGTTATGCTATAGTAACAAAAAACAAAAATCTCAGTTGCTTGCAACCCCAAATACATTTCTTCTTCAGCTCCATGTCCATCAAGGTCTAGTTGCAGCTCTGCTTTGCATCAACTTTAAGCAGGGACCCAGGCTGTCAGATTAGCCACGATGTGAAACATTGTATTCAACATGGTAGAAGGAAATAAACTAGAGGCCAAATCACAGAGAGAGTCTTAAAACTTAGGCGGCACTGCAGAGAGTGGCAATAGAGTGCTACAATCCACTGTGCCTCTAACAGGGACTTCTGGGCCTCCATCTTTGCTTCTGTAGAAGTATGAGTGTGAGAAATGAAACTAATATATGTGGAGACTGCTTGAACACATTATCAGCAAAATCTCATTGAGTCCTCAGAGCAAAAAACTAAGGTAGATGTGGAGCTATGGCTCTACTGTACAGATAAACAAACAAACAAACAAACAAAAAACAAAAACTGAGGCTTTAAAAAGACAAAGTAATTTCTAGCATGAGATTCTATATGTAACTGCAGGGCACACACTAAGAACTTGAACTTGATGTCAGTTCTCTCCCTCTCCCCTGTAGTTGTATAATGCCTTATTTTTAAAACAACTGTTTCTAATTGTTTCAGACTCTAAGTGCATGTAGGAAGTGTGGTAGGGATAAAACTGGCAGACTGCAGTTGGTGCAGCCAGCCCTCTGGGGTTCTTACTGAATTTCTAGTTTTTCTCTAACAAAATCCATGGGCAGAGGTATCTACACTGGACACTCTCTTTCTTACCTACTTTTGGCCTTCTGCCTCCCCTTCCCTGACTCCAAGTGATTCATTTCCATCTCTCTCTCCCCACCTCCTAAATATTAATTACTTCCCACATCCCCTGCACACATACAAACTCCAAACCTTTTTGGCAAATCTTAGTAGTAAGCAGATGGGCTATCTGTGTTGCCGGGAGATCACTTCATACTTGGAATCCAGTCCAAACAGAGACAGAAGGAAGGGGATGGTGTATCAGTTACATGGGGTAGTGGCTAATAGCTCTGATTCTTTTCCCTTCCCTGACTCTTTTTTTGAGTTGAACTCTGGCTTCCTTGTCTGCTAGCTGTACACTCCTGAGCAGACCTCTTCCCTTTCATGATCCTCAATTTCCTCAACTCTAAAATAAGAAGGACAACACTACTAACCTATGGGAGGTTGTGAGTAGTTAATGAAGTAATGTTTACAAGCCCTTAGCACATTTCTTGACTCATAGAAAGAACTAAAATGTTTTGTTGTTATTTATTTATTTATTTTTTTTTTTTTGCTACGTTAGTAGACAAAGGGAAGAGACGAAATCTTTGTTTTGGAGGGAGGACTCAGTCCTATTTATGATGAATTCAGGAGCTTCATTTCAGGTTGTATCTAAAGCAAAGGACCTCAGTAGAAACAGCATGAGTTTTAAAGGAACTTGAATTCCAGTCCCTGTTTAGCCTCTCAGGAGATGCGTTATCTTGGCTAATTCAGCCCTACTAAAACTGTACTCTGCTTTTAAAATGGGCGTAATAATTTGCTCCCGACCTCACAGTGGCCATGAGGACCACCTGCCTGGCACATTGTGCCTCATTCAAGAGTCATTTGTTTCCCTCTCCCCTATAACCCTATTTTCTCTGTGTCCTGACCCTCTGCCTCCCCTTGGGGGAGGGCGCAGTGCTCATTCTGTTCTTTGCTGTAGGCCAGCACCTAGCTCTGCCTGGCCACAGGGAGCACTTCCCATAAGAACTGGGGCAATTGGACAAGTCAGCAATCGTATTTTTTTTTTTAAGTGTTCAAAAGTTACCAGAACTCACCATAACTCCGCATGTAAAGTGTAGGTGCCTTTCTCCTAACCCGAAACCCTTTTCTTCAGGCAGGGAGCCTCTTGGCTTATGGTGCCAGGCAGCCTTCCCCCACCAAATGCCCCAGAGTTTCCCCAGAACCCCAGGGCGCGAGGCGCGCAACGCGCAGCCCGGGCCAATGTCCGTGGTTCTGCTTCGCCCACCTTCTCACCCTCCCAGCGGAGATCGCATCTGGCCAATAGCAGCCCTCCCCCAGCAGCTGGCTTTCTCTCCTCCCCACAGCCGCTCTCCCACCCTAGCCTTTCTCTCACAGCCCTTAGCTTCTCGGCTCGGCTCCGGAGCGTGGACTTAGCTGAACACAGAGCGCAGAGCCAGCGAGCTGGACCTCGCTCTCCTAGGGCCCTGCCTGCCCGGTGTTTCTTCGGCCTCGCTCCTCGCCTCTCTTTTCCCGAGAGGTGGTTCTTGACACTGAGGACGAGACCTCGGTGTCCCTCAAACTTCCCCTGAAAGGGAACCGGTGGGGGAGTAGACCGAACAGAGCCAGCTATGGATCCTGTGAGTCAGGTAGGACGCAACTGGGCAGGGCGGCTGGTGTTGGGGACCCTGCGGCTCCGGAGACGCACGCCAGCCCCTGCCTCATGCTGTCCCTTTCTCTCTCCTGTCTCCTTCGTCCAAAGCTGGCCTCAGCAGGCACCTTCCGGGCACTGAAGGAGCCCCTTGCCTTCCTGCGAGCTCTGGAACTGGTGAGTAGCAGTTTGTGTACGGGGAGGGGGCCCAGTCGGCCAACCATTGGGTGAGGAGTGGTCCGGTGGGTGCTCTCTGCTAGGTTCTGCTCAAAGCCCGGAGTTTAACAACCCCCAGCCCCTCTCCCTTCAATCCTCCCCACTCCCAAGGTGCTATTCCGAGGACAGGATCGAGGGACTGCTTGCAGATGTGAATGTGGACGAATTTTTGCAGGCGCTTAGCCTAGGTGTCTTCTTACCTCAGTGCTGTCTACCGCGCGGGGCTCGTGAAAGATGTCTCCTTCTGAGGTGAAGATGGGAGGGGCTCAAGTGGAGGCTCTGTCTCTGGGTTTGGCTGCTCACCTGGGATTACGCGGGGTTGAGCGGAGCAGCTGGGAGTACTTGGCCAAGCTCGGAAAGTTGGTCAGCACGGGACAGCTCTTCACCTGGCCTGGGACGATGGAAGCCTGTGGTGAACTGCTCTGCTGAAGCTCCAGGGACAGAGAAGCTGCCAGGCTGTATCTGGCCACAGAGCGCGACTCCTTCCTCCTGTTATAGTTTCTCGAGGCCTCTTCTGATTTTTCTTCAAAGATCTCTCAACCTCTTTTGTGTAGCTTTCTCTACCGACCTGTCTTTGTGAAGTTCTATTATTCGTCCCTTAAAGGAAAAAAAAAAAAACAACACTCTGACAGTCCAATGACAACTTGGCTAATGACAGAGGAGTGAGGCAGAGAAACTCACAGGGCCACAGAGCAATGTTAGTGTTGTTGGCTTTGTTGATGGTTATTCACAGTGAAATCTGCAGGTCACACGTTTCCTTTTGCTAGGAGCTCTGAAAGCCAAGTGAACCTATCTCAATGGAAAGTTCAAAGCCAGTCATGTAGCATTAATCAGAGACCCTACCACTGACTAGCTGGGAAATTATGTAAGAGCGTGTTGTCTGCCCAGATCTTACCTCCCAGGGCTAAAATCTGTCTCTGGCTGCACGAGAGAGAGGGGGGGCGGGGGCGGGGAGAGATTTTTCTGTAGGAGATATTGTGGTGCCGGTTTATTACATGGATGATGTACAGGATAATCACACTTGCTTTATTTACAGACCTGCATAAAATGGATGACTATATCAATTTGATATATATCAAAACAGAAGTTGGAAAGCTTGAACTAGAGGTTCTGGGATGGCTATTCTAAACCTGTTTCCTTTACAGCCAAGTTAAACAAACCAAACAGTGCTCACAGTATAGGAAACTTTCATTTGGCTTTCTCAGAATTCTGTCCACATTCATTCATTCAGTCACTCAATAAACGTTCCCTGTGACACAATGGTGTTTTTGATGAAAAGAATAGCTCCATCAACAAGCCATTCAAAAACCTGACATTAATTTTTCTGACATAATCTCTTCTTGTCTCACATTGTTGCTTACCTGAAACATTAATTTTTATTCTCTTCAATCCTATTGCAGTATTATTTCATGCTATGATTCACCGCACAGCCTGTACCGACATATTTCAAAGGCTGGCAAACCTAGATGACTTTTTTAAATGCAGATTTCTGGACACCAATAAAAATATTGAGAAGATGAGTGCTTTCCCATGAACGTATATTTTAAATAAGTGCCCTGGATAATTCTCATGCACATTAAAGTTGGAGGACCACTGCCCTGATCACCCTCCAAACTCAAAAGCACATTTTACCTTAAAGCTCTTGCTGTTTCTGTTCATACTGTATATAATGCTTTCATACCCTAAGCCTAGAAAAAATGTTTGTCTTTTAACCTTAGCTAAAACATTACCCCCAGTGACGATTTCTGTTATATTTACTCTTGCCCCTTTTCTCTCCCCCAGACTGAATGGTACACCCCACTCTTTGGGCTTTTGTTACATTTCATTCATTTTTTTTCATTTATCCATCTATTCCTTTATCCATGAAAATTTATCACATTGCATTATAGTTGTTATTTTTGGTAGTGGTGGTGGTGGTGATGGTGGTGGTGGTAGAGTGTGTGTGTGAGAGAGAGAGAGAGGGAAATCAGAGAAAATTTATTACATTTAAAATATGTGTAATCTTTCCTTCTCTCTTTTGGCCTCTAAGGCTCTAAGAAGAAGGGCTTTGGCTTTGACATCAGTTATTAGCCTCTGATTTGTGAAAGAGAACTGGAATAATGGACAAAAAGTGAGTAAGTTAGTTGATCTACATTTAAGAGAGACATGGGGGCAGAGAGAGGTTAGTTGCTGAGAAAGTTAAAGTTGAATTCAGTGGAGAGGAGGAAAGAAAACGTTTTATGCTCATGCAGTGGCATGAAGAGTTACTCTGAGATCTTTTTCTGTAGGAGATATTGCAAGGAGAGTGTGATCTTTTAGATGGCAGGAAATTTGTTCTGTTCTTCTGTTTCCCATTAGTGCTTTTCATGGTGGCTGGTGAACAGTAAGTGATCAACAAAAAAATGTAAATCTATGGTGACAGAGCACTAAAAATATCCCAGTTTCTCCCATTCTGTGATGGAGCTTTAAAGTTGTATTCTCTAAAGTCTTTAAACTACAGTCCTTTTGTTTCAGTATTTATTCTGTAGAAACCAGTTTATTTAAAGGGTTTATGTTCAGAATATTTATTGCAACATCATTTGTAGAGGAAGCAATTAGTAAGTCTATTAATAGAACAATCCTAAAAATATGATTCACATGTGAAATATTATATTATACTGCCTTTAAAAAGAATGAGTTAAATTAATAAGCATTTACCTAGAGGTCAATATATGTAATTGCGTTTGATAAAAGTAGGTGAGAAACCCTGACTGATGTGGCTAAGTGGACTGGGCACTGGCCTGTGAACCAAACGGTTGCCAGTTCGATTCCCAGTCAGGGCACATGCCTGGGTTGTGGGTACAGGTTCCCAGTAGGGGGCATGTGAGAGAAAAGGATACAGTGATGTTTCTCTCCCTCTCTCCTTCTCTTTCCCTCTGTCTAAAAACAAATAAAATCTTTTAAAAAATTAAGTGAGAAAAATGAGTTTTATTCTTAGTGTTTGCTAAAAATTTTAAATGGAAGAAAGTGATTTTCATTCTTTTAATCAACATATGGAAAACTTATTCAATAAGATTTCAAAGTAATGCACAAAGTACAATACTATTTTTGTAAAAATAAAAAATTAAAAGTAGAGCTTGTGTTTGTGTGCATGTGTGGATTTGTATGAGCATAAAGTATAGTTCTACACCTCTGAATTGTTAAAATTGATTTTTTCTGAAGTAATTTGAGGTGTGAAGGGGAGAGAAGAGGAGAGGATGACGGAAAGCAGTGGTATTCTAGAAGAATCATAGGCATATCTGTTGCGTGGGTCACCGGCCAGCAGTGATCACGGAACGCTGCGGATGGCTCCACGATAAACACGTGAGAAAAAACACACATGCACAGAGACAGACTAGTTTCTGTGGGGAAGTAGGGACGAAATGGCCACCCCCCCTAGTGGGGAGCGCGCTGATTTACCGTCCATACCTGCTTTTATTAGGCTCATTCTGCATAATAATTCAGGTAAAGTACAGTACTCATTAGGGGGAAGTAAGGAACTATAGAAAACAAAGAACTCTGCCGGTCTATTGAGTTGGGGGTCAAAGAGCTGTAAGACTGAGGAACAAAACTAACTTCCTCCTAAGACCCTTCTTATTCAACTGAGAGCATTCTAAACAAAGAAGGTTTCACAGGAATTTACATGTTCTTTCTTAGGCCTGATCACCCCAGGGAATCCGCACTTCTCAGTACAGAGCTGCACCACCCTGTCATTGTTTCAGGCTTAGGTGGAGCAAGGGAACTAAGGCAACTGGGAGACAAGGAGGTTTTTTCCCAGACGCTGAGAACTCAGGCTATGTCAAAGCTGAGGAGTGAGGGTCTATCACCCCCTTTTTCTGCAGCCCCCCAAGTCCTTCTTTTGGGGGACCTCCCAAAGTGATCGTGCCTGTCTTAGGTCGTTCCCCCCCGTGGGGAATCTTACCTGTCTTTGGCTATCTGACCAAGCTTTTTGGGGTTCAGTCATGAATAAAGCAGCAGAAGCAGCATTCCTGCCAGGGAGATAAGCTTTTGTCTCCTTGCTGGCTTACGGTTCCAAGGGCATTCCCTTAGCCTTAGCCTAGGTGGGGGTTTCAGCTTCTGATACCAGTCAGGGCAGTTCCCAACACATATCCCTTGTCCACAGTGTAAACATGAGTAATTCTTAAAAATAATTCATATTTTCAATTATTTCCTATGGATTGACCATATGAAGTACTGTTGCTTCTAAAGCCAACCTCCACTTTTGGATTTATAACTTTAGAAGAAAATGCACTTTATTTATGTGTTCTTTGCTTAGGAATGGCTCATGGATACAGTGGATTTAAAGTATACATAACATATAAAAGTCAAACCTTCAGGGAGAAGCTTTAGCCAATTTCAAAGATTTTGAGGTGGAACTCCCAAATCCTTAATCTCTACTTAAATAAGGTCAGGGGACTTTTCACTATATTTTGGATCAAAACCAAAAATCAGGACACAGCTCTGACTTTGGTGCTCTGTTTCATTTATTCCCTGGTGATAAAATAGGTCCAGAAAAATCTCTTAAACCATTATTTGGGAATATATATATATATATATATATATATATATATGTGTATATATATGTGTGTGTGTGTGTGTGTGTGTGTGTATACACATATATATACACACGTATACACACGTGTGTATATATACACACATATATACACATATATACGTGTATGTGTATATATACGTATATGTATATATACGTATATGTGTATATATACACATATACATACACGTATATATACACATATATATACACACATATACACACGTGTATATATATGTGTATACATATATATGTGTGTGTGTGTATATATACATGTGTATATGTGTATATGTACATGTGTATATGTACACACACACACACACAATTTATATATATTTAAAGGGCCCAGCAGAAAGTTTTGCTTGAATGTGGTTCGTAGGGTATATGAATGTCTCCTATGAGATGGACAGCA